ACTGCTGGGCGAAGTGCATGAGTTGCACCCGAGTCCAAAAGCACTGCAGACCCGCTGGTGTCATAGTCAAGCTGACTCACCTTTATCACACGCAATTGAGGAGCACGAAGGGACTTGAGGAGTTGTGTGGCTTCATGGAGCAATGCTTCACTGGTTGCTGCCCCTGTGTCCGCACCCCCTTTCACCATTGTCGTCTCCCCCGATTGACCATCGCCCGAACCAGCGACGCTATTGCCATCCTGCTGGACCTCCATCTCTTGCAGCTTTGCGGTTGCGGCACCTTGCAAAGTGGTGCCACCTGACTGCAATCCAGCAGCAGCATTGTAGGCCCCATTGGAAGAGGATTGAGACTTCCCTCCCCCTGAGCCGGAACCCGGCTCACCAGCGCCCTTGCCTGCTTTGATCGGCGAGGACTTGACCTGTGCTTTCAACTTGCACTCAGACTTTCGATGATCTTTTCCTCCGCAAATCCAACACCGCTGGGCCTTGTCTTCAATACCATCCCAGGCATGTGACCACTTGCATTGTTTTCCAGCCTTACAGCCAGTGTCGGAGCGGAAATAGCGACATGGAAGGGCAGCTGTAGACGTGCCTTTGCCCTTGTCTTGAGAGCCAGACTGACCCCCACTTGTAGTTTTGCCCGGAGCTTCGAGTTGTTTCACACGCACCGGGGTTGAGGTCGAAGGTGGCGTTGAACTCAGCAAAGACAAAGTTTCCACTTCAGCCAGCAAACACTGACTGAACCGCCAGACTCCACTGTGATGTGGTTGCTGATCCACGCCCAACTGCAAGCGGCTCTGAGCCAAACGGAAAGCAGCTTGAGCGTCCAGACTTGCGATCTGTGTGACCGCTGGTTCCAAAGCCTTGAGGAGAAGCGTGCCATCAGGCAAGACCGCCCCAATCTCCTGAGCCCTTGAGAAATGCCGTCGCCACGAGCGCAACACTGAGGCCAGCTCTGACACTCCAGCTGCCTTGTCCAGGGCCGTGAGCTTTGCGAGGAGGATCGACTTCTCCCCTGCGCCACCAGGTTGATAGCGCACCAGCAACCTGAACAGCAGAGCCGTGGAATTGAGTTCACGGGCCGTGATCAGTGCCTGCTGCTGATCCGCCGGGATGGCTTTGAGCAAAAGGTTCACACCTCGCTGCTCTGTTCTCTGGTACTGGAGGTCGAAGAGCTCATCCGGCAATTTCGGGTCCAACTGAACCCGATCTAGTGGGGATGCCAACTTCCAGCGGTCGTAATAGCATTGAGCTTCCCGCAACGTCAAATTCCACCACCGAGCCGAGACCGCTGACAGATCTCGGAGGACTGGCCCGCAGACCGCAAGCCAGTCGCCAAGCTCCAACGGCGATGCATCACTCGCCAAGATCGGCAGGTCGGCCTTGCTGCCGCTGCCCTCACTCCACGGCTGTGGAGCTACCATGGAGGAGCCACCATCAGCGCGCCAGCGCCCATAGTTGGTGTCTTCTCGCAATCCATTCATCTGCTTCGGCTGCCAACCATCACCTTGGGATACACAGCCTGGACCTATGGCATACGTTACCATGTCCATGATGATCATGACCACCATCAAAACCCCCTCCACGATCACGAACAACTCCCCGAAAATCATGACCTTGGAGTTCCGAAAAACCACATCCACTAGGCCCCACCGGTGGTGGTGGAACCTCATGCGAACAAGAAGTGGCCAAACCAGGAACCTGCTCCTTCATGTAGGCCACGGAGTTCCGGAGCTCTTCAATCTCACGCTCCAACTGCGAAGCCCTATCTTCATGTGCTCGATCAGGAGCCCTGCACGGCAAGAAAGACTTGCCCTCGCGCTGATCCAGCGGGACCCAACGTGAATCACCATGAGGGGCTCGACCAGCCATGAACTCATAGCCGTCCAAACTAATTTGAGCCGAGTGGCTAGCCGCCGGAAACGGAGGAAACGAAAGCTCCAAACGCTCAGTGGCAGGTGGTGAATCCGGTGGCACTTGTGTCCCATTGGGGGTGTATCTAATCAGCCGAGGCACGGTCACCTTGGTACGAGCTGTCGGACTTCTCCCCCTGGGTGTGCGAGGAGCTGCACTCGACTGCAGCTGCACGTGACCACCCCCTTCACCCGACACTGCAGCTGACTGACCGTCCTTGCTGTCCACCTGCTCCCATGACGAGGGGGTAGAAGTCGGGCCACGACCCTGAGGCTGTTGTTGCTGCTTCAGGGTTTCAATTTCTGCCAACAACTGAGCATTTTGCTCCCTCAAAAAGATCACCATCTCCGCTTCTAGGGCCTTTTGCAGGTTGTCGGCTGCTTCATCCCTTCTAGGTGGGCGATGTTCTGGAGGTAGGGGCCCCATGGATGCCGTGGGATCAACCTTAGAGCTTCCAGTGGTGGGCATCATCCCCTCCGATCTCTTCCCCTTGACGGACCCGCGACCTTCGGCACGACCGCTCGGTGGAGTGACAAACATCCGCCCTCCAGAGCTTTGGGACAATTCACCTTGCCCCTTGCCCGAGCGCAGCCCACCAACGCCTTCCACCGGCATCAGCTCAGGCTCCTCGAGGTCGCCATCCCCATCATGGGGAACAGGGAGATCCTCAGGCCGCTGGCGTCTCAGCTGGAACTCCGCCTTCAGCTTGTCCGACCACCATGGATTCGCCTCCATTGGCGGTAGTGACCTAGCCCGGTCACGATCCATGGCCTGAACCGCGGGGTCGCTCCTAGCGAGGGCCACGTCTTGGGCTCATAACCCTCGAACAAAACTCGCACCTTTTACTTGGACAAAAAAATGCCTGTGCGCGGTGGTCTCACCGTCAGACCAAGAATTCCTATAACAACCAAAAAACAAAAACACACCAAGCAAAGAACTTGGAAAAGACATTTAAGAAGATAATTTTATTTATATGTAATGGATAAATTTTGTAGATACTGTGTTAAAGATTTACCAATTAATAATTTTGAAGATGGATTGAAGACATGTAAGAAATGCTTGGAATACAAGAGAAGAACTATGACAAACATAAAGATAAAGTGAATGAAACACGAAGAACTAAATATAAAGAACATGAAGAATATAGAAAAATAAACAGGAACAAATACAAAACTATCGTGATAAAGTTGTCGTTTGTAATGTATGTAATTCATCAATGAAGGCACACTGTTATTCAAGACATTTAAAAGCAGCGGAGCATAAAAGGAATTTAGGAACGGTTGATGGATAGGATCTTGCAAAATGAATAAGGTAATAATGCTTTTGACTGCTATGATTTTGAAAATTGAATGAGGTAAGTATGCTTTGACTGCTATGCTTTTGAAAAATTGAATGAGTTAATCGTGTTTTGATATTGTTGAGAAACATGAAGCAATCAACAATATTTAAACTGACTTTTTGGACTGTTATGTTTTATTTCTAAAAAAAATGTTTTGTTATACTGCTATGATATTAGTTTAGAAAACTTCACTCAATCAACTTTTTTTTTCATTTTTAGGGGAGCATCTGGAGGTGGCTTATGGTGATAGGGTGATACTGCTGGATTCTTCCCTCAGTCTCCACTGAGAAGGGAATTTGCATTTCTTAGGGTGGATTTCTGATCGGCAGACAGAGAGGATCCATGGCAGAACTGGGAGTGGTTTATTTGTCGAAAACCACGGAGACATTACTGAGCTTGGTCTGAACCCCCCTGCTTTAGGAATTCGTTGTCAATCATATAGGTGTGTATTTAAATAGGGAGGCCTCCCAAAGACCTCTAGAAGAAGGGAAATAGACCAGTCTACCTATTGGTTGGGGCTCTCCCCATTAAAATACCGGTCCGCATATCGTCTTGGTTCATGGTAATTTTCATGTTGATGCACATGGTCATTCCATGTCGACGCTTAGACGCGGACGTGGCCGGAGTCGACATGGGTCGCGAGACGGACTGGTCACTACTGAGGACTGTGAGTCAGTCGACCTGCGACCTGCTTCAGTCCTCGGGGCCAGTTCATGACATCCAAAAAAAGGATCCTGTGGTTTTTTGCACATGTGACCGAAAGGAAATTAGGAACTATCGGACTATCGTTTTCAAAGCGTTTTTGTTTACGTTTCATCCCCGCCTTTCCAAACAGCTGGAGGCGAAAAAGGAATCGAATTATAGACTTTACCACCAACATTGGATTTCAAGGAGTGGACACCACAAGGAAGCAATGCGAAGTCCAGACTGTTTGGGATCTATGCTGGCTTAGCCACTTCGGGTGCACCTGAACTTTGGAATCCTCCCAGAACTTTAAGGGAAAAGTACAGAACACCCATAGTTTTGGGGATGAACACCTTGGCAGATGTTCCCTTAAACCTCCTTAAACCAATCCATTGCAGAAAACCTGAGATCCTCTTCACCCGTGTCGCGGGGGAAAAAACCGGGTTCCCGCCCCGCGTAGTGAGGTACAAGAATCGCATGCTGGTGGTGGGTGGCCATGATGGTGCCAAGCACCTGTACGCCGCCTTAGACCGGTCGACCGGGAACACCGATGGCTCAACCAGATAGATGGGCAGGCGTCGTTGGAACTCAGGGTCCCCGCAATCCATCTGAGGCAGTTGCCAACCAGGGCACTCGGTTCCGGTCGCATCTGTGGTGCTTTTCTTTCTTTCTCAGCCTTCTTGACAGATCCACCATGAGATGGGCAGGTTGGGCGTGGAATTGGTCCCGCAACGGTCCCGTTGGTGTGACTGGACATGTGGAGGGATTCTTGAAACCATAACTCCCTCCATTTGGATTGGACAGCCTCTTCAAATGATGTCTGGCAAGTGGGTTTTTATTGATCAAGAGTCTACATTCACATCACTAACATCATTAACAACATTAACATCATACCGCAGTGAACCATACCGCGGGGCCAGTGATTTTGGTACCAAACACTCCGGCTGTTTCAGATCATCGGGAAGGAAGCGTCACGGCAGCGTCTGGCTCGTTGCTTCGATGAACCAGGAACGACTTCTACCAGTTCAACTTCGACTCCCTCGAGTCCCGGGACCCAGTCTGGAGTCGACGTCTGACCCGCTTTGCCGTCCACGTCTGACATGGTCGGTCTCTCGCCGGATGGTTTCCTGAAGGCCAGTCGGTCGGCGGTTTTGGCCAAGCTGGCAGCAATTCCCCTGCTTTCCCTCTTTCTCTCTGACATGATTTTGCAAGCTGGTTCAACTGGAAGGACATGTTTACTTTGCTCTTGATGCATGACATCTTGTCATGTAGATTGTTGGTGATTTGTCAACCTCCTAGATCTGAAGTGCTTTACAAGCCACAGGGGGTTATCAATCAAGATTCTGCATGATTGGATTTGGATGTTGCCTCTGAAAGCACATGCTTTCAGCACCGCTCTTGGTGCGAGAGATTCTTGCTGCGACCTGACCCCCTCATCTCCTGGCAAGGAGCTTGGTCTCCGGGTCAAATACGTCATGACTGCACTCTCCGGCGTTCAGACTCTTCGGACACCGCTGTCTCCTCCCAACGCCCACCCGTCGCGATCCGCCGATCCCACCCGAGACGTCCCGCGCGTATCCAACGTCCCGCGGCCACGAGCCTTCCGCGCGCGCCGTTCGGCGCCGATCGCCCCGACGCTTCCGCGACCCGAGCAGCGCTTCGCCACAAGGCCCGTGACCGTGTTTCACGCGTCGTTGCAGGTGGAGCACCTTTCAGGGGCTGTGAGTGAGGGAGTGAGTGACCATCCTTTCTGACGCTTTGGGGTGGTAAAGAGACCCTTCGGCCGAGCCGCGGGGAAATTGGGAGTTCCCTTACCGACATGCTGACACCCTCAAGAGCCATGCAGCAAATACTGGGCATCCATGTGGAAAGGTGTCCCTGTGAGTGACCGTGGGCGAACGGCGAAACTGAAACAAAGAACATAAAAAACCTGTTCCCTCAAAATGTCGGGTAAACCACCTGTCAACCAAATGATGTAGACTGTTGATACATAAAAGGACCCATAAAGCCCAGCATTTCGATTGTACCATCAACCGT